AAAGAGAGTTTGGGTTGATAAAACAAGGTATTTTACTTTGGATTTTGGTTGTTTTTCATGCAGTAACAGACTTGGGCACAGTGCTGGCAGCGGCCCAGCAATATTCCTTCCCAGAACTCTGCTGAGACTACATCTTCATCCCGATCAGCAACAGCTCTCTGCTATTTGTGTCTTGGTTTCGTTTGAAGAGAGATTGACAGTTTGGTTCATGTGTGCCACATGGCATGTCACTGTCATGGTCCCAAGAGAGGAACATGTAAATTCCAAGAATGAAAAAAAGCATTTTTGCCTGTGACAAAGACAGGTATAAACATAGCTTTACAGCAACAAGATTCTCAGGCTGAGAAATTAAAATGAAATTGAATGCAATTTCACCCTACAGAAACCTTCGATCTTGGATTCTTGCCATGTTGTTCTCATGAAGCAGAACCAAGATATGAAAGTTTCTATTTTATTTTTTTGCAAATGTTTTTCCTGTCCTCAATCCCTATGTCTTAGGTAAAGATCCTGAACCTGAAGCTTTTAATGTAGCAGTAGTAAAGCAGAAATAACTGACCTGTAGCAATGAGATTGCTATGAAGACTCCTGCAACAATGTAGATGTTTCTTGGTAGCCAGGCTTCAAGAGCAGGGATACAACCCTTGGTGAAAATTAAGTTATCCCATTTATTTTTACTCTGAGCAGGAAAGACAAAGAGACCATGTTACATTTTTGCTTACATTTACCCTAACAGCACATTGTAAGACTAAAACTGATAGATCTAGTGTTTGTTAAAGGAATCCAAAAGAACTTAAGTCAGAGGCTGCAAACCATCATGCACTGTCTCAAGCTTTATGAATTTGTCCATTTTTTAACGTTAAATTGGGTATGTAAAAGCTTCAGATACTTATTCAAAAGTTTCAATATTTGTCTCAGATGTGTATCTGTCTTCCACCAGCACCACCTCACCTCACTTATTCATCCTATGAAACAGACCCCACTCTCTCCCTGCTTCCTCCTCCAACTCCTTCATACAGTTATCATTCTTTAGCAATTTATAACTGTTACAGATTCTGTATATACAGGTCTTTTAATTTCTCAGATTTTAAAAAGCGTGTAGCTTATCTTTTTTAAAAGTAACAGCCATTAATTAGAACCATGAATGCTGTCGGCAGCAGATGCTCACCTGCATTCTGATGTCATATCCACACTGTGTATTCACAACCTTTTGCTGGAAAATAAGAAAGTTTAAACATTTATTCAATTCTATCAGCTCAAGTTCCCAGTAAGATTTTTTTTCCAGATGACTTATACCCAAACTAAAATCAATACCAAGTAAAGGGAAACTTTTAAAGCATTTTATAAAAATAGCAAAGAATTGTCAGAAGATCAGCAAGATCCTGATGTGAAGTATACAGATATGACTCCATTTCCTTTTAGCTTCTTACAGCCTTACAAACCTGTTGCTTGTGTCCCTCAGCATTAATCAAGGCTACCCAGCACCAGAGAATAATGCACTTGTACTGCCATTCTTCAAATACTACTTCAAAGCCATAAACCATGCATGAACAAGCATCCAACTCCTCAAACGCTATTTTCACATAAGCTTCCTGATTTCTGCTTTACGAGATACTACATGGTGTTTCAGCCCATTACATTTGAATATTGTGGGCAACAAAAACCATCCACAAAATGTATGTATTTATGTGGAAAGGAAAATGATACTTTGAAAGTTAGTTGTTCTGATCAACTACAACTAGATATTTTTAGAAGGATCATAAATTGTTTGACCTGGCTTACTTTATAGTTCCTTGAGGTCAGACTAGCAAGTAAGCAAGGTTTAAAAGTCTATAAAAAGGTGAACACATGTGATTTGAGTCTGGAAAGTATAAAGAGCTGCCTTACAAATTATAGGCTTCCCCACTCAAATGATGTGCGATCTCAATGGATAAAAAAGGTACTTGTATCTTACATATGAAGCCATTTCTCAACTTTTTTTTTTTTGCTCTCCTTACAAAACCATAACAATAACCTGCCAGCTCTGCAATTATAGTTATCAACTCCTCACAATCCGTGGTTACGTAAATTAAATATCAAAAACATAATGAGGGGTTTTAAACTAGGGAATGCCAGAAAGAGCAACAGTTTCACAGTAGAATCAAGTAGATAATCAGACACAACTGTCAGGTAATAAAACCTAACAGATACTTTGCTTATCAAATCTATTTGGAAGCACTCAGATTCTACTGCTTTTCATGCTTCATGATTAACCCAAGGCCAAGTTGTAGTCAGGGACCTAAACTAAAACAGACTTCTGGGCCCTAATCCAGTACCACACAGAGCCAGACACAAAACAGGATTTAGTCAGGCTGCAGATGCCAAAGTCCAGAAGTGCAGTGCTAAAACTACCTGTTCCATGGATCCCCAACAAGCACCTAGAACTCATGAGGTGCCCCCTTTTTTGACCTGAAAGTTCCTTACTTTCCTGCAGTTCTGCTTTCAGAGCAATGTAAATTGCTCCAACTTGAGCAGCTGGGCACCTTGAGCATTTTTACACGTGCTTCAGGGAGGGGCAATGGGAGAGGAGGGGGCGGGGCACTTCAATTAGAACATCTCTTGGAGCCGCTCTAATTAAAGCACCTACAGCGTCTTGTCTATCGGTGTCCCCACACTTCAATATGGCGCTGGGGGCACTTGAACTAAAGCTCAAATGAACTGTAAATCAAGTGCCTCTGCTGCCATTTTGAAGCGTGGGGACGCTGATACACAAGACAGAAGCTGACTTGAACATACCAATTAGCACATTCCAGAAGAATCGTTTAATCAAGTCTGCTCCGATGTGCTGTAATTACAGTGCATTGAAGTAGCCTCCTGGCACGTCTACAGGTACCCCTAGGCCCCACAAACTTAAGTAGGATTGAGAAACTAGGCCCCTGAGGGGCCTCATCTGGTAGGCAGTCAGATACACCTGAACAAGGTTCCCTCTAAGCTGCGCGCATGCGTGTTGCATAGTTTTATAGTTGGTAGGGTTGTTAAGGACATGAGCAGATCATCAAGTCTGACCCCTGCCACAGGCAGGAAAGAATGCTGGGGTCAAATGACCCGGCTAGGTGATTGTCTAGCCTCCTTTTGAAGACCCCCAGGGTAGGAGTGAGCACCACTTCCCTTGGAAGTTGGTTCCAGATCCTAGCCGCCCTGACAGTGAAGTAGTGCTTCCTGATGTCTAGCATGAACCTACTCTCAGTCAACTTGTGGCCGTTATTCCTAGTTATTCCTGGTCGTGCTCGGGGGAACAGGGACTCTCCCATTCCCTGCTGGTCCCCCTTGGTAAGTTTATAGATGACCACCAGATCCCTTCTCAGCCTTCTCTTGTGGAGGCTGAACAGGTGCAGGGCCCATAGCCTCTCCTCGTAGGGCCTGCCCTGCTGCCCTCTGATCGTGCGAGTGGCCCTCCTCTGGACCCTCTCAATACTGTCCACGACCCTCCTGAACTGTAGCACCCAGAACTGGACTTAGTACTCCAACTGCGGGAGAGGATCACCTCCTTGGACCTGTTCGTGATGCTTCTGTGGATGCATGACAAGGTGTGGTTAGCCTCACTGACTGCGTCCTAGGGCCTGCCCTGCTGCCCTCTGATCGTGCGAGTGGCCCTCCTCTGGACCCTCTCAATACTGTCCACGACCCTCCTGAACTGTAGCACCCAGAACTGGACTTAGTACTCCAACTGCGGGAGAGGATCACCTCCTTGGACCTGTTCGTGATGCTTCTGTGGATGCATGACAAGGTGTGGTTAGCCTCACTGACTGCGTCCTCCCATGTTCATCCTGGAATCAATAATGACACCAAGATCCTTTTCTGCCTTTGCGCTGACAAGAAGGGAGTTCCCCAGCCTGTAGGTATGCTGCTGGTTCTTCCTCCCTAGGTGCAGTACCTTGCACTTGGTCAGTATTGAATCCCATCCTATTCTCATCTGCCCACCCCTGTAACTTGTCCAGATCTAGTTGTAGCCTGTCCCTCCCTTCTATTGTGCCCACTTCTCCCCACATCTTAAGTGTCATCTGCGAATTTGAACAAGGTGCTTTTCACCCCCTTGTCCAAGTCACTGATGAAGATGTTGAACAGTGTGGGCCTGAGGACCAAGCCCTGGGGGACCCCACTGCCCACATCCCTCCAGGTCAAAAATGACCCATCAACCACCACTCTCTAGGTATGGCCCTCCAGCCAATTTGCAATCTATCTGACTGTGTAGGCCAGTCGCCTAATTTTTTAATGAGAATGGGGTGAGAGACAGTGTCGAAGGCCTTCCTAAAGTCCAGAAAGACTGTCCACCGCGACACCTTCATCTAAGGATTTTGCGACCTGGTCGTAGAAGGCAACCAGGTTGGTCTGACAGAACGTGCTTCTAATGAACCCATGTTGGTTGCCCCTAAGCATAATCTCCCCTGCTGGTCCCTCGCAGATGTGCTCCTAGATAATTTCCTCAAAGAGCTTTCCCAGGACCAAGGTAAGACTAATGGGTCCTTCTTCCTCCCTTTTTTGAAAATGGGGACCACACTGACCCTTTTCCAGTCCTCTGGCACCTGACCAGAGCACCACAACTGCTCATAAAGCCGTGCCAGGGGTCCCGCAATGACCTCTGCCAATTCCCTCATCACCCTGGGGTGGAGATCATCTGGACCTGCTGTTTTTGAACATGTCCAGCCCCACCAGAAATTCCCTAACTAGGTCCTCTCTGACCCTAGGCCTGGCGGTGCCTCTCGAGTCCATCCAGAATCCCAGGGGCGGGATGTCCTGGTCCCTGCTCAGATAAATGGAGGCAAAGAATTTGTTAAAGAGGTTAGCTTTATCGTCTGGTGCAACCACCAGATTGCCAAGCATGTCCTGCAGGGGCCCCACATTACCCGGTGCCTTCTTTTTACTCCCTATGTATTTAAAAAAGGACTTGTTATCCTCGATCCTGGTCACTAGTCCTAGTTCTGTCTCCGCCTTGGCCTTCCTAACAGCCCCCCTACAGTCTCGAGCAATGGAGGTATAATCCTCCTCGGTGATGGCCCCTCTCTTCCATTGGGTGTACGCCTCCTTTTTAGCTTTCAGACATTCCTGAATGCCTTTGGTGAGCCATGGAGGCTTTTGACCACTCTTGCCCCCTTTGATCCGCATTGGGACTGTCACCCTTTGGGCTCGGAGGATCGTCTTCTTAAGGAACGACCACATGTCTTGGACTCCCAAACTCCCCTACCCTCCGGGACATCAGTGGCCACACACAAGAAAAAAAACTTGCCATGCACTAACTTTTTAATGCCACGCACCTGCCCCAACCCGGCCACAGGCTGCTGCAGAATTGCCTGACAAGAATGTCAGGCACACTGAGATATCTGTCCACTCCCAGTCAGGATTGCTGGCTTGAAGGTGCCTGATCTTTGGGGGGGGGGGGGGGGAAAAGAGTTAGGGGTGATGGTTATGGGTTTCTGACAGTCCTGGTGGGGAGCTGCAAGTCCTCTTGGCAGGGCTTGGTTCGGGGAACTGCCCAGCTGCTCCAGATGGACCAAGACAGGAGCCCAAGCAGCCTGTGCTGAGTGGAACATGATAGCAGAGGCACAGCCACATGTAGCTGATCCCGGGGAGGTGGGAGGCAGCTCTCTGGGAACAGAGTCGTGTTTTACCAAGGCTCACATGAGTGTCGCCTCAGAGGTGCGCCGAGCCCACCAGTTGACCTGCCAGGTCCTGTAAATTTCATCATCAGCTCCAGGGTCTCCCTGGAGGGGAGGGGAGGGGAAGGGTATCTTTGCAGCCACTTTCTCTCTGATGCTGTGCTGGAGAGAGAGAAACCTGCCTGAGGATGGGCAGTAGCCAGACAAAAGGTTCCCCAGCTTCACAGGCTGCTACACATTTTCTTCCACCTTCTACCTGTGCCTAATCCTGGGAGCCCAGGAAAGCAACTGCAAGGTGACTGGAAGGCAGCAACAATGCATGCAGCCACGCTCCTGAGCTGTAAGTCCCATCCCTTAGGAGAAGAAACCCAGTAGCCGGCTTCCTGGACCTGCCTAGCTCTGGGACCTCCAGCAAAAACAGCAGGCATCAGTGGTCCCTCTAAGCTGCTCACAGACCACCAGACCTTAGAGGGAATATTGCACCTGAGCCCACTGAAACCCAAATCAGAAGCAGCAATAGTTAAACACAGTGGAATTGTCAATGCAATTGCCATATTATTTTTTTAATAAAGTAAAAGAAAATATTGGTGGTGTCACTACTCATCACAACTTATATGAAACCTAGTAGTTTAACCACTTAGCTGAGATCAAGTTCCTTCCTCAGGCTGAGGAGCAGGTGAGGGGAAGGAGGGAAATCCATCTCTCTCACTTTCTGGAAGACTGTCCTAACTTCCAGGCTTTAAAGTAGGCTGGCAGGGCAGGGGGCCTCTTCCCTCTTCTTTTCCACAGTGCAGAAAAGCATGAAAGATTTGAATGAAAGCAAATATGGCAGAAGACCACAGAACTCTTTACTTAGCTAACACACAAAAAGGAAGCTTACAAGAAGAGGAAAATTGAACAAATGATAAGGGAGGAGTATAAGAGTATTGCTAGGGCATGCAGGGATGAAATAAAAAATGCCTACCTAGGTCTTTTGTGCAACTGGAGTTGCAGCTAGCAAAGGATGTGAAACGTAACAAGAAGGATTTCTACAAGTATATCAGCAATATGAGAAAGATCAGGGAAAGCATAGGTCCCTTACTGAAAGGGGTAGGCAACCTAGTGATAGAGGATGCAGATAAGGATGAAGTACTTATGCCTTTTTCACCTCAGTTTTCTCAGGCAAGGTCAGCTCTCAGATTACTGCACCTGGCAGCACAGTTTAGGGAAAAGGTGAGCAGCCAACAGTGGCAAAAGAATGGGTTACAGATTATTTAGAAAAGTAAAACATGTACAAGTCCATGGGGCTGGATGCTATACACCCAAAGGTGATGAGGGAGTTAGTCAATGCGACTGTAGAGCTGCAGGCCATTATCTTTGAAAACTCGTAGCAATTCAGAGGGGTCCTGGATGACTGGAAAAGGGCAAATACAGTGCCCATCTTCAAAAGGAAGATCTTGGGAACTACAGACTAGTCAGCCTCACCTTAGTCTTTGGAAGAAGTCATGAAGTAGGCTTTCAAGGAAGCCATTTCTAAGCACTTGGAGAAGGTGATAAGGAACAGTCGGTATGAATTCACCAAGGTCAAGTTGTGCCTGACCAATCTGACTGCCTTCTATGATTATAGAAAAGCCTTAGTCTGCCTGTCTGTCCATAATGCTTTATTCACACTCTGATCGTCTGACGGAAATAACCAGAGTGCAAATACAGCGTTTGGACAGTAGGTGGTAGTGCGACAGAGTGCCACCATGATGGTGAGGACAGAGGATGGAGCTGGTCTCACCCCCCTGCTGGTCCTTGCAGGTGGCAGCAGCAGCATGGGGGAAGCAGGGTCAAGATGCCACAGGATGCCACCCCCGCCCCTGCTCCTTCCCAGGTGATGAATACCTAAGGAGGGTCCCCCCCAAGGCCAGCAGCCCCTTCTCTCTCCCACACTGCTCCCTCCTGATGTGTGGGTGGGGGGAGCAGCGGGCCCGGGCCGATGGGGGAGGGGATGAGAGGAGGAGGCCCAGCCCCAAAACAATGGCAGGGAGGGTGAGAGGGGGCACGCTGGGCTCGGCCTGGCCCCGA